ATATACAGAGAGGTACATGAAACAGCCAAGCAATGAAGACCAAAAGAAAGAAACCAACCAAATGAACAGCTTCTGTTCAGTTTATTTATATATGGGAGGGCTGCAGTATAATCGCTTACAATTACGGGGGAGTTTTTTGCAAAAATATCGTGGATCTAAATAATTTCGGAAAAAATATATGCAGAGTTTCCGTCCGGTATTTAAATATTTATTTCAACATTTCAATGCGGTGTGGGCACCTGCAGCACACTGCGAGGGCCCCCTCTCGGACGCGCTTGTCGACCGGTCCCTTTAAGAGGCGCGGACTGCGGGGACTCGAAGTTCGTGGGGAGGTGCCGATCTGATCCGCCGCTCCATTGGCCTTTGGCTCCGGGCGGACCCGGGACCCGAGGCAGCCCTTCTTCGGACGAGGCGATTGGCTGCGGCCGAGGCTCCATGCTCCTCCCCAGCCTGGTTTTCCTGGTTGTGCGGGCTGAATGAGAGCAGGAAGCCGAGGCGGGCCTGGTAGTTGGCGGATCGTTGGCATGTTTGAAGATTAACGAGGCTGTTTTAAAGCGCTGGTGTTGCGCTGCATCCGGAGCCAGAGCCGAGGACATGACGGAGAAACGCGTGTCCCGCTGGTACTTCGGGGGGCTCGCCTCCTGCGGGGCGGCGTGCTGCACTCACCCGCTGGACCTGCTCAAGGTAGGATACGCCGGGGATCGGCCGAGGATCGGCCGGGAAGGAATGTATGTGGAGCCCTCAGGACGCTGCCGCTTCGTCCCGGGGGGAGGCGCACCGGCTTAGTGCGCATGGTGATTAAGCGGGCGTGATGCCCGGGGGCAAAATGAGATTCCTTTGGGAAAGGTTTTATGGCAGCGCGGAAAGGGTACACTGTCGCGGGTCAGGATAAGATCGGATAAATTCTGGAAATTATAGTTTGATCCACATCAGTACTTGACACTGAACTAGCGAGCCATATGCTCTGATACGAGAGGACTGGTTTTGTTTGCAGGATTCTTGCCGTTGTCTTTTTTGCCGTAGCTGTCCGAGAGATTCGTCCGTGATCTAGTACAGTACAAACCGTTCCCAGGAGCTCCGGGGGTGATTACATGGGCTCTTTGGAATTGTTTTCCTTGGGGGGTCAAAACGGATTCATACTCGCTGCCTTACCGCCGGGTCTAACCGGAGCCTTCATGTGACCCCCAAAGGCAGGAATCTTTATTACTGAAGTCATACGAACGATGTACTTGAAGAAGAGCTCGGTGTTTTCACATGCCATAAAGATTCTGCAGCTCTTTCTGCTTCCATGTGGAGAGCCCCCTCACGTTGGCAGTCGTCACATGTTTACCTGCCATGTTCTTGGCTTTGCTCTCTAATTCCTGCAACTCCGCGAAGAAGTTTGCATTTCAGAGTGATTCAGACTGCAGTCTATAATCTTCGCCGGACACCACCTGAATGAGCCGTCATCGTGGCCTTGATAACACGTGCAAACATCAGGTGGGGGTGGAGGCCCTGGACTTTGGCCCCTGAATCTGCAGCGTGCGCATTTGAACCCTGTACCCAGGGCCCCCGCCTCCCTCTGGCAGCCTCTGGAAGCTACCTGGTGCAGGGGGAGGCTGCCCTTTGCCCTGGCCGCAGGTTCGCGTGGAACTCCGGTCTCGCCCTCGAGGTCACAGCAGAGCTCCCCCGTCTCACGGTCTCGCCCTCGAGGTCACAGCAGAGCTCCCCCNCGGTCTCGCCCTCGAGGTCACAGCAGAGCTCCCCCGTCTCACGGTCTCGCCCTCGAGGTCACAGCAGAGCTCCCCCATCTCTCGGTCTCGCCCTCGAGGTTACAGCAGCTCCCCCGTCTCACGGTCTCGCCCTCGAGGTTACAGCAGAGCTCCCCTGTCTCTCGCAATCCTTTGTGCAGTAATGCAGCTCTGCCTTTCCTAGATAATGCTGCTGCCTTTCCTTCCCTTTTTAGAGGAATGATCTGAGCTGCTCTGGTGGTTGCGCAGGGCAGGGCGTCTTTTAGAGAACCCTACAAGTGTGTCAAGAAACTTTTTATGGTTTTATTTGTTTTTGACATTCATGTATTTATTTTTTCTCTTTATTTTTCTTTCCTTCTTCAGGGAATCGCTCCTTGAAACCCTATACTTTAATCTCCGCCTGGCACCTCAGTCTGTTCGTGACCCTTTAACCCATCATTATCTCTAAAATCACCCCCCGAGCCATAGCCGCAGGTACCTTGGCAGGAGCTCTGGAGGGGCGGGTGGCCTTGTCTTGCCAGTGCCGTTTACCCGTCCCCTCCTTCTCTGAGCTGAAGGACAGGCCACTGTGAATGTTTGTAGAAGGTCACGCAGAGAACAGCTGCTGGACCGAAACGGGAAGGAGTCAGACAAAGTCCCGGACATGTACATTCATATGGGCCCAGGGGCTCATGGGATACTTATGGGGTTATGTGACTGTCCCCCCCCAGGGAACCTCAACCTCCCCTTTCTCTACTGAGAGCTACACGTTTACCTCTGAATCCACCCGCATTATAGTGTAGCCACCATCATTCGAACCAAGGATTTATGTGTGGCTCTCAAGGTTTAGGGCACCCCTGCTGGCCACAAACTGTCACTGCACTTAGTATGAAATAGGCCTACGCACCTGATGGTGGGGCAGCATGTTCTGCTAACCAGCCAGCTATGATCTTCTGTCTCTACTTGCTAGCTATTTATTTAGTTTTTCGGAACATCTGGGTGGAGGGTGACCATGAAGTGACTTCTAGACAATGACAAACCTGCCCTTCACTGTAGCAATGTTTACAAGAGAAGTTATGCTGCGTTCTGTTTGAACTCGTAACCGGGAAATTCCAAGTTCCTAGTCAGAATTTTCAACTAGAATGCCCCCTGAAGTCGGAATTGCGACTTGTGAAGTCGTAGGAATCTCTGGACGCTTTTCTACTGCACCAGGTACTATAATTTTGGTACTCATGAAAATGTGCAAAACACTGCATAATGTGTTGTTACCAACTGACATTGGTAATAATAACTAGCAATTAACTGGGCTAGAACTGGGGCCTGATTCAGAAAGCAGGATTTCTTGCTTAGTCTGATAACTTGTCAGATTTAAGGTGTTCTGGGCTAAATGTAAATGAGCGATTAGAAAAGGGCATTTAAACTGGGGTAACTAAATCTCACAAGTTAACCGGCTAAGCAAGAAATCCTGCTTTTTGAAACAGCTCACTGGTATCGCTAAATGGCTTTCTGACTTCCTGTACTGGAACGCAGATAACACGTGTATGATATCATTCCCAGTTCCGACTTCTGAGGTAAATGGAACGCAGCATAAGACAGCACCCTTATCAGGTGATAAATTATTTGTTAGCAACTTACCATTTGTAGCTGAAACATTTAATGCAGGATTTTTGGGATGATGTGCAGCCTGATGTGCAGCCTGATGTGCAGCCTGTAAGCAGGTTAGGAGCCTGTGGTAGATAAATATGAGATCATTTTTGATGTTAAATGTTGGTCTTTGAAGCCGCAGCTGTGAGTTTGAGCTGTTTGTGCGTTCAGTGAATGACGTGGGTGATTCAGCAGCTGGGCTGTGCGCTACACTCGCCCTCATAACCTTTGTAATCTCCCAGCTGGGAGTCAGAAGGACTTGACATCGTCACATAGCAAGGCCTTGTGTAGTCTGCAGAGCCCATGGCTGTGCTGCTGTCATGTGACTCTCTCGGCCTGTCAGTGAACCAGACAAATTCCTCTCGTGATTGAGCTGTCAGACATGCATTTGTTTAAAGTGGGTGGCATATGCATTTGCATGTGTCCACGGGCGACAGATTTAGGCCCTATGCTCTGTGCGGCACGTTCGTGCTCACGACAGGAAACCAACCCTGTGCTCTGCGGTGGCCAGTAGCTTTGAGGTGACCTTGTGCAATGTCCTGCACCATCTTCTTTCTCTTTTTTGGATTCGGGGTTTGATGGTAGAGTCTCAGAGAGTGGCAGTTGGAATCTGGTCCGTGGTGCGCAGAAAGGGACCTCAGGAATATCCAGTATGTAGGAATAAGCTGTGTGCCATTTCAGGGTGGGGTGGGGGAATTAAAGAGCAGTGGTGGGACGAGTACTCGATATTAGTACCGTACTCAAGTAAAAGTACAGATAATCGAGTTTAATCACATAATTGTCACAGCTCTAGTTTGTAAGCTATAGTACAACTTTGTCTTTTCTTTTTATTCAGAAAAAAATGTTGAAGCTTGCTGGCATAGATTAGAGGATTAACATTTTTATTCTTTGGAAAACAAAAGATCACTGTACTGTCTATATTTAGTAATGAATTGTTGAAATTTGTCACGGGCCGGTGCTTTGAGTCGGCTTATAACTGGTGAATGAGCCAACAAAAATTCTCATTCTCCGCTACGGAAAATGTCTGGTTGTCCCAGCCAGTTATTTCCATTATTTCAGTACTTGTGTCTTTAGCTCTGGTGCCTTGAATATTGATCAAGTTTTTAAATATGTCGGCAGTTTTGATATTTTAACCGATATATTGTACATCTCTACATCTTCACAAAGACTATAATGCATATTTATTATTTATTTATTTAGTAATTTAAGAAGAGGAGAAGGACAGCAGTACAGCCCTTGAGTGGTCGATTTATCCTTTTTTTTTCTTTTCTAATTCACATCAGCGTGTCCTTTGGAGGCTGCTGACTGTGCTATGAAGGCAGTGATGTC